AACGAGGGAATTGCCCCAAAAACCAAATGAGATTACATCTCCTATATTCACTGTTAGGGCGGCATTCGCAGTGTGGATGTTAAGCATATCGGTATTTATAGCAAGTCAGAAAAAAAAGAAAACAGGAAATGGAATTTCATTTAATCTTTGTTCAAACCCAAAACCTTCAGTCAGTAAATTTCTTTTTTGAAAAATCGAAAATGTGCACATAGATATTACCTCATTTGTGTCACCTCAACGGCGATTGCAAATTTGTTATACTTTTACTGTTAGTTTAATTCCTTTCAACCGGTCCCTTATATGCGCCATGAACCATCGAATTTTTGCGAATTCATCGTAAAAATCTGTTTTAAAAGGAAAAAGTGATTATGTTGTGACTCGGTAGCACTTGAGAAAAACAATCCAGTGGACGAATAGTGTATTAAAGTCATAGTAGGAAAAAAAATGTTTTTGTATTTGTTAAAATGTAGTTCTGAAGAGGAAAATTTGCGGCAGTGCAGTGGAGATGAGAACAGACTTAAGAGTTCAGAAACTGTTTTGTTCAGTGAGACACTCTCTAGTTAATGGTGAAAAACAGGCGATCCAAGACATTATGCTATAGGTGTAAATATCAACGTGATTTCTATAAGCGTATTCAATAAAAAGTTTGTGCCAAAGTTATGCCAAGGTTTTTTATCCGTGTTTTTTGTATCTTGATAAAAGTTGTTCTTCTCATAAAAGTAATTATTTGAGATATTATATTGAAGTTGTTCTCTAGCTAGTGGATTATAGAACTATGCTTAAGTTACAGGTACTTTTCTTACGCAACCACGTTGTGTTTTTATACATACAACGAACTAGGAGCGTTTATTTTTATTATATTCTGTGATATTAACAGAAGACAAGAGACAGTATAATTTACGGAATAAAGTTGTCTATAAGTGACAAATAACCATATTTATCGTTTTAAAAATTAATATGATAATTTCTATGTACCAATCGTTTATGCAGTTGTTGTGCTGGACGAAAACATGTTTTAAACACATTTTCTCTAAGTAGCTGAAAAGTGGCAGCACTAAGGTGAATCGAATGTGTAAATATCGTCCAGATAACACCTTGGGTGCATGGTGGTGTTGTCAAACTACCCGTATACCGCAAAAACTCATGTTTACCACCGTCCATTAATTGTTTAATGTTTGTCGTATATATTTTGGTTTGATTTACTTTTTTTAAAGCACTTGCATATAAAACATATTCTGCCCATTGTGCATTTTCATTATCCGATACGTCAAAAAGATATGCCAATACAGCTGTTTCATTTGTTTGATCACTTCTAAAAACAAAATGTGCTTCCGCCACGTGCTTTTTCCCGTTGATTTCATGTTCAGAGCCCTCGTCATCACTTGATCCCCAATGCATATGAAAATTAACAAGATAATATTCTCCATTGTGTAAACCACCAAAGCTAATATAATATTGTTTTTGATGTAAAATATTTGTATTTGTTAAGGTTCCAGGTACTGAATGGCCGTTATTAGTTAATGTTACCGTTGTTAGTTTACCAAGGGCATGTGAGAACTCAAAAGGAGGATAGTCGGTATATACTGTTTTCGCAGTATTAATATGAATCGGTGACTCTTGTGGACCATCACATTCTGGATAACCCATATCATACCAGTCTTTTGCGTTGCCATAAGTCCACTCTTCCTGGATTAATGTCAGTGCATCAAAGATGCCCAGTTAACTAGACAGGTATATGGAATACGAAAGGCTGTCTGCAAAATCTGGCTAGTCTCAGTTATTCACAAATACTCTTGAGTTAGCAGTAAAACAGAAAGAGTCATCAACTTTATATCATTATCCTTTACCTTAATATTAATGAAATATATGAAAAAACTTGTTTTGTTTTTTTACAGTTTTGGGTAAATAGTTTTCAAGAAGAGCGATTCAGCAAAATCCACAAAGCCTGTAATAGATATACACTTCACTATTACAACTGAAACTTTGTCCTTTCTGAAGACCACCATACATTCTATGTTTAATAAAAGAATCGCGAAAATTAAGCATCTACGCATAATAGTGTAAAAGATATTAGTTTAGTGTTAGTGTAAAGTGAATTGTTCAAAAAGCTAGCAAGAGTAAATCAGATAATATTTCTTACTAATACGGCTTTATAAGTCGTGGTAAATAAACTACAGTGCTTAGTTGTCAAATTCAGCCGACAACTTGATTTATTTGATTTTAATGATTAATTTTCTCTTTCTTACTTTTTTGTACATCCAAGGCGTTAGGTATAATAAGTACATAACAATTGTATGAACAAGAAATAAAAAGCAAATTAATCATCAAAATGAAATAAACCACGTTGCTCTCTGAGACTGAAAACCAAGTACTTATTTGATTTGTAAATGCATTGTGGTAAAAACATGATTGGTGAGATATTCGCTACATCATCCTTACATCTCCCTTCGATCGGCGTTCCCTAGGGCAGTGGCGGCGAAGCCACTGAGACGCGTGAGGCTCAGCCTCATCTAGATTCGACTTTACACTCTGTTTAAACATGTGATTTTCAGACCCTTTTATGCGCTGGCAGTAGTTTCTGTTCTTGGAGAGAACGAACATATGCACTTCTCTTATTAATATTGGTCGTGGTGGTTGTCTCATGCTTGGTTTATGGTGATGTAAAGCCGTCTGAATAGCGCGTTTTTGCAGAGATGGGAGAAGGTACGAAGTTTGTCGCGAGATCTTTTTAGCTATGAAAAAGTTATACCTATAGATGACTGAGTATACCCTTTAGTTGTTTACTCCCTTTACTCCTTTTAGTTATAAAGTGAGAGTGACGGTAATAGTTCTGATATGCATGAAACAGAAAAGTAAAGGGAGCAAAAGGAGTAAAGGCAATACAAGACTAAAAAAAGTAAAAGACTAATAGCAGTAAAGGGAATAAAAGAATAAAACGAGTAAAAGACTAAAGGGTGTAAGAGACTGAAGGTAGTAAAACATTTAAGGGGCTAAAAGTGTGACAGATATAAAAGTACGCAACTAGATACGAAAGTTTCTGGACAAAATGTTTGATCATTTTTGTCCCGCTTGAAAGTATTTCAGACGAGTGAAAAACTATGGATGAGACCCACAATTTTAAGTTCTTCATAAATATGGACTTAGAAGTGGTCTATCCATTTTTGTTCGAGGGTAGTGAGGGAATCTTTGAAAGGCATAAAAATGTAGTTTGGACGGAACGTATGGCCCGAAGTTTTTGGGCAGAATATTTGTTATTTCTGGCCTGCTTGAAAATATTTCAGACGAATAAAATATGATTAAGACTAGAATTTAATGCTCTTTTCGAATATGGACTTAGAAATCGTGTATCTGTTTTTGTTCGAGAGTCATGAGGGAACCTTTGAAAGGCATAAAAATGTAGTTTGGATGGAAAAGTTTTCCGTGCATTTTTGTATTTTCCTTATTGTGATCTGAAACTAAAAGCTGGAACCTTCGTCAATATATCAGCTTGTAAAACAAACGCTACCCTATAAAATCTACTATTTTAGTTTCTTTTTGTTTTTCGATAAGGCGCTGAATTTTCATTTTTTCTACGCCGTAACAGAGAGAGAGAGAGCCACAGAAAGTGGCTCTTGAGAAAATGTGTATAGCTTGTCTACCTTTAAAATCTACAGTTTAGTTCGATGTCCCATATTATAAAGAAGTGTTCACCCTATACAATTATCAAGTCCAACATATTTTTAAACCTTCGTAAAGGGACTGATCGGGGTTAGCAAAAATCTGTTTGTTCACCGTCCAAAGTAAGTTTCGAGGCCTTCCAAAGATCTCCTCCCTACCCTCGAACAAAAATAGATAGACCACTTCTAAGTCCACATTCGGAACGAGCTTAAAATTCTGGTTCTCATCCATAGTTTTTCACTCGTCTGAAATGCTTTCAAGCGGGACAAAAATGATCAAACATTTTGTCCAGAAACTTTCGTATCATCCGTTAATTCAAAATTTTCTATGAAATGTTAAGATGTTTGTATCCTCGAAACAACAACAGTAGAAAGCTCATATTTTGGCATAAAACAGGTGTACATACCTAGTATATATACTGTTGATATCGGCCTTCTCATTAAAGAAGCATATAAGAAAATAATATTTCTTGAGGGAACTAAAACTTAGTATAAGTGTTAGTATTTTCGTTTCTCTCGGGCACTGTAACTCAAAAATTGAAGGAGACTAAGCATAACGCTATCTGCTCTTTGACCAATAAGAAGAATTTTAAAGAAATAGGTAGTACCATACTGCTACGAAGTACATTCTAAAATTTTATTCAAATCCACAGTAATTCTATCGCGAGCTTTCGATGAGTACTCTCGCCGTCATTAGAACGAATGGCAGAAGTGAAGACGTTCTCACTACTTGGTTCTCTCTCTTCGCATATTTGTTTATACGTGTAACTCTTCACTTCTGCCATTCGTTCTACTAATGACGGCGAGAGTACTCATCGAAAGCTCGCGATAGAATTACTGTGGATTTGAATAAAATCTAAGAATTTACTTCGTAGCAGTATGGTACTACCGATTTCGTTATCTATTTTCAACTGCTTTACCAATTGATTTTCTAAGAATAATTTTGTTTGAGTTTTAGAAAACTTTGATTGGTTAAAGGTTTAACTAAAATTTCATTTCGTTGAGCTCGACTTACTCTTAAAGTTTCAGCTTAATCGATAGTTAGAAAACGAAAGATATTTCTGACGGAACTCTTTTATACAACTCTACCAGAAAACAGTGACGAGCCAATGCTAAACGCATTTTTTTTCTCGCTTACCCTTAGGTTTTGTAGTTCACCAGCTACCATGCTCTGTCCACGATAGACCGTCATTGAATCCAGGTCAATGGATCATTTCCAACATTTCCACGTAGTCCTGATGCAATAAAGACAATTGCTGCTCGAGCTGTTTGATGAAAAATCGGAATTTAA